ATATATATATATATATATATATATATATATATATATAAAAGTGTACCTGCTAACTTTCCTGAGGATTTTTTATTCTTTGAAAGTAGGTGTTTTTCTTTAGTGAGTGGGTATTGGGCTCTGTGCTTTCCTGAATGCCTTATATGGTGCAATTTAAATCATCCTATTGATGTCGAACTTTTCCACAAACTCTTGATGCCGCCCTAATTCCTTTCATGTTCAACAATGGTTTTTGTCGAGTCAGAGACCAGGACAACTAAATATTTTCTTCTCTTTTGTGAAGATCCTTTTTGGGTCTAATGGGAGAAGATTTGGCCAAGGAACTCACATCTGCCAGGGTCCAAGTATCTGGGTCTTCTCGATTTTTTTAACATAGAATGTGACAATGGCTGTACAAGATCCATCATACACGGTAATCGTTGTTGCTTATATTGTAATTTGGGAGTCCAAAAAGAATACCTTGATGAGCAACATAAGAAAGTTAATTCAATTCAATCGACTCAGCATTTGGATGACATTTGCACTGATCAAATTGTTTGTTTCATATTCATAATTACTGAAAAATAAGATTTTGTATTTCAGTTATGTCTCTGAATCCTTATAATTAAAACACAGAAAAAGCTCTTTTAGATTTGCTAATGAAGAGTCCTCGTTCTGAGTGATTATTTATGCTGACAGGCTTATGTGGACTCACGTGTCATTATATGCCAAACTGTTGCATTTCAAAAGGATGTTGAGAAGTATGGGAAGATCGAATACATGAAATGCACCCCTGAAAATGGTTTCTTCCCTGATTTATCAAAAACATCAAGAACTGGTTCGGTTGGTGCAGTTTGCAAAGGATAATGGATCTATCATAGTTTATGGCTCAGCTTATGCAATGTATATTTCGGATGACTGCCCTCGTGCAATCTTTGAAATTCCTGGAGCAAAAGCGGTAAATAATGTATCAATCTACTGACTTGAAATGCGTGCGTACGGTTTTTTTTTTTTTCTCTTTGATTTTTCCATTCTAACGTGAAACAAGTATTATGTTTTCTGAAGTGAAGTGTTGAATTTTGATGCAGGTTGCGATATCGATATCGTCATTTTCAAAATATGCAGGGTTCACTGGTGTTGGTCTAGGTTGGACAGTCATTCCAAAACAGCTCGCGTTCTCAGATGGCTTCCCAGTTGCCAAAGACTTCAATAGAATTATATGCACCACCTTCAATGGTGCATCCAATATGGCTCAAGCTGGGGGAGTAGCGTGCCTTTCCGCTCAGGGTTTAAAGGTCATAAACCTGAGAGTCTGTGTGTGTGTGAGAGAGAGGATTATGTTTCCATTTTTCTGGTGCATATACCCAACTTGCTCCGATGTTGTGACATTTTTCTCAGGCAATGCATCAGGTAATTGGTTTCAACAAAGAAAATACAGAAATAATAGCGAATACTTTCGAGTTGCTTGGTTTTAAGGTGTATGGAGGGAGGAATGCACCCTATGCTTGGGTACATTTTCTGGTTGAAGTTCATGGGATGTTTTTGCAGAGATTCTTGCGAAAGCTCACTTGGTTACAACACCAGGCAGTGGGTTCGGACCAGCTGGTGAAGGTTTTATTAGAGTGAGTGCCTTCGGTCACAGGGAGAATGTTCCTCTAGACGGTTGAAAGAGCTCTGCAAGTGAACTGAGATCTTCTCCTTCTGGTAAGTCATGATTCTCTCCATTGAATCCATGGACTGGTAGTACTAGATTAACAGGATGCAATTTAAGGTTCCTTTCAATTATGCAATTTGAAGCCCAATGTTGGAAACTATGAATGCAATAACATGGGAGAGTCTCTTTTTCTCTCTCTCTCTCTCTCTCAATTATGATTTAATTCAATTAAGTTGCATTGTAATTAATTGATGTTTAGTTTCCTTTAGTTTTAATCTAATATGCGACATTACAGCATAGGTACAAATGCTTTTGAAATCATTCCCAGAAACCAGCAACTGGGAGAGAGCATGTCACTTTGGACAAGTTAGAAAAATATTTTCATTTGTCACAACATTTGTGAATTGATCATTTTCCATACATTGAAATGGTTGATTCCATCATCATGGTATCAAAATAATTTTCTTTTTTATGTGCACAGGAAGATTTTCATCATTTATATGACATGAATGGTGAGAAGTGCGAACATTAAAAAGGTCTGTTTAAAAAAAGAAAAAGAAAAAAAAGGAATCAATAAAAACTACATTATTCTTGTTTTGAGTCCGACACGGCGAATGTCGATATTGCAGGGTGGCTCGTCCTCATCAGGTGGTATTCTCTTTGGAAAATTCACAGAGGCCGCTACTCTCATTGTTGTATACTTTCCAATTTTTAGCACGTGTTCATCAAACTCCAAACCTGCAACAAACAAAGGAAGACAAGTATAATGGATACTCGATTTTTGGTGGAAAAAATGTGTCCATTCTCAAGTAATGTCATAATTAAAATTATTGTTACAGGGAATTTCAATTATTTTCTTCTGGAGAAGTTCCTTGCAAAATTCCAAGAAATATTGGAAGTAACTGAGTTTGCAGAGGAAAAGTCCATTTGAAATTAGAAACAGAAAGGAAAATAAGAGATACTACTATTTTCCTTTTTTAATTTAAAACTTCTTTAACTTTATAAAAATGTATACAATGAAACCATTTACCTTGATACAAAGAGGTCACAATTCGCATTGACTATTACATTTGAGATCGAGTGGTTAGAGGTGTGTCATCGTTTGGGCATAAAATCCAAAACAAAATTTCTTGAATGTTGTGATACAATTTCATCTATTGGATTTCACATCCAATGGTCAAAAGTGATTGTGGCCTCCTTGTACAAATAAATAAAAGACCCAATTTCTATGCGGCCAAGCTCGTATATGTAGAAATGCGGGCCTCTTAATAAAAATCTATTCTTGAGATGGATTTTAAGACTTAATTTTTAAAGACATGTAATCTCTAAAATGGAGATCATGAATATAAAAAAGTATATAAATTTTAAAAATTAAAAATAATAATTCTAGTAAGAAAACATTTGGACCGTTAATTTCGATTGTTTTTAGATGACACATGGACGCTTTACACTTTCTGGAAATGCGGTCTAGCCCGCATGAAACAATTTTCCATAATAAATAGTCTCATAATATATAATCCCTAAACTTATTTGTCCTCAACTTTGAAAACTTACTCCTGATTTTCTAATATAATTACATTAAAGAAAAAAGTGCGGAAGAAAATGGAGATAAAGAGGGAAACTCCTCATGGTCAGAAAAGGGATTATATGTTAACCCCCGGAACTTTTTGTCTAAGGAGGACACAATCACTCACAACCATCAAATGTGAAATCCAAAAATCCAAAGGCTTAGGTTTGTGTCACGCTTCAAAATTTTTCTTATGGGGTTTTGAGCCCAACAATGGCACATGCCCAGCCACATATTTTACATCAAAAAAACCCAAGGTTGATTGTAACCTTATAATATTAAAAATAAGTGATCTTATTGTATACTTTTCCAGCGCATAAATGCCCCTTTCATATTTATTCCGGCAACATTTCAAGAAAATGGATATATTTGTCACCATAAACACTTAAATAGCAATTCTCTATGTGATAATTATAAGTGCAAATACCTGCAACTTTAAAAATAATAATAATAATATTATTATTATTATTAGAGATGTGCTTCTCTTGTTTTTTTTTTGCAAAGAGGTTATCTAGCACAAGAGGGAATTAGAAAAAAAAAGAAGGGAAGATAGAGAAAATAAAAGATGAATACCTCCTGGTGTGAGGTGGAAACCTGACCCTACTTTACTGTAAAAGTTCACTATAAGATGTGCCATTGGAGAATTCCAAATGTTCTCTACATCAGAAAGGGGTATCCTGCAATACAAGGTAGTAGCAGTAATTTGTATCCATAGAGTTGGAGAGTATCAATCCATAGGTAAGAAAAAGTTAGCTAGCAAGCACATAAGCAGTATGATCGAGACTGGACTGGGCCGGTCGAATTGCCATTGTAAGTGGCACGATCAAAAGTAAAAATCGGATTTGGTTGAAGCTACCAAAGAGTGTTATGCCTTTGATTGATTTTGGCAAGAGACAAAACGGTTTTGTTCTGACTGACCAATATAAACAACATTTGAGTAAATTCTTTCTATAGATTCTATATATTGTTTTGTTTTTACTTTCCCAGTTTTAACTGGCCCAAACCAAAATACCTGTAACGAATACTTGCCGCGAGGGATGAGATCCCGATAGGGAATTTGTTGCGTAACTCTAAACATGGTTGTGGTAAAACATGAAGAGCTGCATATTTGGTCTTGATTCTGGCTTTTGGAACCAGAATCCCTCCTTTATCCATCTCTGCACTTGCCCCAATTCCCAAACTAAACCACCATGGGAGCTCCTCTCTCTTCAGCTCTCCATTAGGGAAATCCCAAATCTGAAATTCAACAAATCCCCAATATCTCAATCCAAAAAATACATCCAAATAAAAAATATATCTGTTAAAATGGAGGGTTTTTCGCATGTACCAAAAAGCTCGAGAAAATGAAAAAGGGAAAATTTGGTGAACTATAAGAGTATTTCCTCCCAATTTTGATATCCAACGACCTCTGAATTGCTTAATCCAAAAATTACAGCAAAATAAAGAAAAAATGGTGATTCTTTTCTTGCCGAGTCCGACCTCCGATTTCTTAATCAAAAAGTTGACAAGAACAAAATAAAGCAGTGACAAATGAGGATTTCCTTTCTCAAAGGCCCAGTGAAATTTTGACAAAACCCAACTCGTCAAACTCGGAGCCAAAAATGGAAGATTCGATGGAAAACTGATTTATTCTCACCAAATTCGAAATTTATGGGAACCACAATTTGGCTAAAAAATAAAATTTATATTAGCGGAGATAGAGACCCAATTCTCAATTGAAAAGCTAGAGTAAAATAAACAAATCTTTAGCTGCAAATGAAGGTTTTAGCGAGAGAGACCTGCATGAGTTGCAGGCGAGCTTGGGCGCCATGGATGCCACGAACCCAAGTGTCGGAGGGGCTGTCCTGTGGTTCGTGAGAGTGAGAAAGCGATGATTTCTGGAGAGAGAAAGCGCGCCTTAGGTCAAGGCGGAGTATGGTTTTAGAGGGACGAAGCAGCGAATCCAAAGCGACCAGACCAAGTGGTTTGTCTGGAGCCCCGGGCTCGTGGTGAGCTCGCGGGGTGGGCTCGGCTAAGGGCGAAGGTGGGTGCTCTTCGAAGCCACTGCTAGTCTTGGCTGTTTCATTAGGGTTTTCAGTGTCTCGACTGTGGAGAGAAGAAGCCATGGGTTTTTTTGCAAGGTGAGGTTCAGTTATAAGCAATGGTTTAAAAAACGGATCGGTGAGCCGGATCAGGCTCCCAAAAAATCTATCCGGATTGAAGAATCGGAGATTCGGATCGGAAATCGGGTGAATCAGTCGGAATAAAACTTAAAAAAAATCCGAAAAAAATATTAAAATTCATTATAAATATTGTTTTTTAGGAATTCAATAAGAAATGAGGGTACTCCATTAAGAATTTTCATGTTTTTGAATGAATATGCGAATATTGATATGTTCTTTCCCTACATGAACCGCCATTCAGCATTTAATTTACATCACACAAAAGGATAAACATAGAATTATCATGGAATAAGTATATCAATATATATGGACTACAATAAAGTATAAAATTAATAACATATTATCTAAAAATAAAATGATAGACAATGTTATTGCTCTTCTTGGTCACGCTGGTGCCATTGATTGAATTCGTTTAACAATTCGTTGATTCGATCTAAAAACGAATCATCGATATTAGCAGACGTCTGATTATTCTCAAATCCCTGAGTGTTAGTGTTTCGTTGTGTTCCCAATCTAAAATCCCCGAAGATTGTCCATCCTTCATGCTCACCTGCACTGTTGTGCTCATCCCTACACTGTTGCTGTTGGGACTCGATATGTGAATAATATGGCTGGGGTAGGGTGGCCTCTGAATCATCATCTCTCTCATTTTCCCTTAGACCCCTTTCCACTCTCCTTCATTAGGTGCAATATCACCGACATCTTCGACGAATTGTGGATACGTTGGCTGGTTGCTTCCTCTTTCATGCTGCTCATCACTTTCTTCAAGATCTTCCTCACCGATAGCCTCAAAGAACGCTCTCTTGTGTAATACTGACTCCTCATCTTCTACTGCCCATTGGTCTGCTATGTCTATGACAAATATTGTGTCTAAGTCTATTGGCCCATAGTCTTCAAGCTTCCTTCTTATTTATTGCTCTCGGAGGTTTAAGTTATAATGAACATAGATTAGTTTATGAAGCTTCTCCGAAGCGAGTCGATTCCTCTTAGTAGTGTGTAACCATTGGAACGTACTCCAGTTGCGCTCACAGCCAGTAGTAGAACATGTCTGGGAGAGCACCTTGATTGTTATCCTCTTTAGGTGAGGTGCATCAGTACCATATATCTTCCACTATTCAGCTGGATTAAAATGCAAAAAGCATTGTAAGGGCAAGAACAATTCATAAGATTAAATATATGAATGAACAAAGTATTAGCAATGGGATAACCTGGATCCATCTTAGTTCGAGAATTCCTGGCAAGTCTAGTTTTGAAGGATCCTATAGCATCCCTATACATAGCAAGCTAAAACAAATATATTTCTTTTTAGTGCATTATTCTTCACAAATATAACAACTCAATGAAGTTCTTACCAAACATTACATAATACATGTTGTATTACTGCTACTTGGTTTCGATGCTTCTCTCTAACCTTGCAATAATGTATCTGACCCCTTCTATAATCTTGTGGGGATGTTCAGGTGTCAAATAGAAAAAGTTTGGGTTGAAGTAGTAACTTAGAAAATATGTAGATAGAAAAATGGCATTTACAATTTCATAAAAAAATGATTTAAAATGAAACATTCTAATGATATAAATATATATTTACCAGCATAATGAATTGGATGTCCAAATTTGGTGTTCCACCTCCTTTCTATAATCTCGATTACTTTGCTAGCACAACTACACTTCTCCCCAATAGCTGATTTCGCCCTCTCTATACCTTAATAAAAAATGCCCATGGTAGCTTTCTTGTCAGCATCTACCATTCTTAATACCGTGACCAAAGGGGCAGTGTCCTCTACAACACTGAAACATCGAGACCAGAACCTCCCATTTGAGACTATGTCGTCCACTTTTATATCGATACTGGACTTCGAGAGGCGGCCATTTAACCACTCTTCACAGGTAAACAATCTCTTTAATGCACTTTCAGATTCTCGAATGGAGTCCATAGCTAAGTAATCGGTCGCAAAGCGGGTCATGGCAGGCCTGATTATCTCTTTTTTCTTAGAGTGTTATCTAAACAGAAATAAAATTTTAGAGTGGTTGTATATAAATCTCGACACCAACCTTGCTTCCTCTAGAGTCTCCTTCACAATTTTGATCTCACCGATATCCTCTAACATAATATCGATGCTGTGTAGAGCACACAGGGTCCATACCAGATGCTTCTTCTTATCCATCAACTTGCTGCCCTCATAAACACATGCACGCGCATTGCCCGTAATAAACTGAACTACATGCTTATCTCTTACCTCCTCAACGATCTGATGATATAGTCGTACGTAGAAGTTTGCATCATTCTTCGTCCCTGATACGTCTTTGTAGACAAAAAATAGTACCTTTTGGGGAATAGGCCAAGAAGTTTAAAAACTCTTTTTTGCTAACTTTATTCAACCAACCATCACTCATGAGAGTAATGACTGTCTTTGGCCAACTCTGTTTATATTATTCAATCCACTTTGTAACTTCCTTCACCTCTTCATCTAATATTGGCTCACTGAGCTCATATGCTGTCGGGGGTTTTACCCCGGGCTCGGCTCTCTGAATTGCACTGACCATAAGTAGAAAATATGGGCTATTAGCTGCATCAAAGGGAATCCCTTTATCGTAGAACCATTTACCAACATATCTCCCCAACATGCTTCTTGTCCCTTTAACCATACCTTTTAGGGTCATCTGTTGTGACTTCGGGTTTGAGAGAAATGGGTCTATACAACCATGACTTGCAATACTGACACTCCTAAGTAACCTAGAAACAATTTCATCAACGTATGATTCTTCTTGATATATATTGCCACCAAACCCCTCTATACATATTTGAGCTAGGCCCACCATACATGCTCGAGCTGGGTCCGTCATGCATGTCTGAGCTAGGCCCACCATGCAAGTCTGAGCTAGGCCCACCATGCATGCCCATGTCATAATCATCAGGCATTCTAAACCCGCGTTCCCTTTGGTATGTTTCATGTAAACTCATTCTTGTGGCCATCTCCAAGTCATTATTATATTGCTCTTCTAGATCATTCCCGCTTGATGACGTATATAAACTAGCTATCTCCTCATCTATCCTCTGCCTTGCAATTCTTTTTCTTTTGGTAGCCTTGAGAAATGCCGCCATCTACTTTCTTACATTATTAGGGGCACTATTGCACGCAGAAACATCTCCCTTAACCCTGCCAAGTGTTGCTTGAACCTATGTACGCCACTACTTATCACTTTTTGGCAGTAATTACAAATAATTTTATCTTTTTTGTTGGGATCAAGTCTGACCCCATGTTGCCATCCAGGGTCTTCTGCAGATCTTGCCATGGTTTAACTTTAAAATCTAAAAGGTTAAAAATTAACCTGACAGTTGAACATGAAAAATAATCACCATGTGTAGTGATAATATGTAAGGGTAGTCATGAAGTTATATTTGTTAGTTAATGCAAAATACTTCTATTGACAAAAATATTTTATTTTCTACCTGGAAAAATAATTTATTTATGCAATATTATAGATAAAAATAGCCTATATCAGCCACTACATAAAGAACAATATATTTACATTGATATAGTATCAATAAAAAATATATTTACAATGGTATAGTAATTCACAATACCAATACATATGGACTTGTCACAAATCTTCATTTCGACAAATATGAATTAATTCCTATTGAGGAAAAAAAAAATATTTATGTAACATTATAGATAAACAAAAGTCTGTATAAGTCACACATGCCAAATATTCATACATCTCAATTACAAATATGCAAGATAATATAATAAAAAAAGCAAGCTCCAAACATGCCTACAACTCAATTATCAAGAACATACATTTTTTGCATTAAAATTTTAATAATAAAATTGATAATTGCAAACTAATATAATTATCATACATGATATTTTACAATGATATTCACTTTAATTCCTCATGATAATACAATTTAACAACATGTGTTGTTTGCATTAAAAATTTAAAAAATCAAAAATACTTTTTTAGTGCAAAACTGCATTAAAAATATAATACAGTTTAACAACATGTATTTGTTAATGTATTTTTTTGAATTAACAACAAATTAAAAAATACATTTTTGCATTAAAAATAAAACAACATGCCACAATTTTTTTACAATGATATTTACTTTAATTCCTCATGATAATACAGTTTAATAACATGTATTTTTTTATTAAAAATTTAAAAAATTAAAAATACTTTTTTAATGCAAAACTACATTAAAAATATAATATAGTTTAACAACATATATTTGTTAATGTATTTTTTTGCATTAACAACAAATTAAAAAATACAGTTTTGTATTAAAAATATAACAACATGCCACGATTTTTTTACAATGATATTCACTTTAATTCCTCATGATAATGCAGTTTAACAACATGTATTTTTTGCATTAAAAATTTCCTCATGATAATGCAGTTTAACAACATGTATTTTTTGCATTAAAAATTTTAAAAATTAAAAATACTTTTTTGATGCAAAACTGCATTAAAAATATAAAACAGTTTAACAGCATGTATTTGTTAATGTAGTTTTTTTGCATTAACAACAAATTAAAAAATACAGTTTTCCATTAAAAATATAATAACATGTATTTTTTTGCATAAATAATCTATCAACATGCAATTTTTTGAAATAGAAATTTAACAATAAAAATTAAAAATATTGTTTAATTCCTCATGATAATCAAAAACAATTTTTCGAAAAATCACGATTTCTCAAAAAAATTGATCATGAATAAAAAAAAAAAAAACCCAAGTTCTTCACAGACGTCAGTCATTCAATCTCAAAAATCAATCTCAAATTGAATGAATCAGATAAATTGAATACATGAGATGATAAACAACACTACAACGAATCAAAACCCTATAAATTTAACACATTCTTTGTAAAAATTTACTGAAATTGTGAAAATAGAGAAAAAAAAAAAACACAGTCTACTTTTTTTCTAACAGACA